TTGTTCAAGATCGTTAGTAATTAGGGAAATGCAAATTAAAACCACCCTAAGGTATCACTTTACCCCAATCAGACTGGCTAGGATCAAGAGAACAAATGATACCACATGCTGGCAAGGATGTGGAGAAAGGGGAATGCTCAGTCACTGCTCCTGGGATTGCAAACTTGTGCAGCTTTTATGGAAACAGTTTGGAGAACTCTTAAAAAACTAAAAATGGACCTACCATATGACCTGCTTATACCACTCCTTGGCATATACCCAAAGGACTCATCCTATTGCAGAGACATTTGTACAACCATGTTTGTTGCTGCTTTTTTCACAATAGCTAAGAGATGGAAACAACCTAAGTGTCCCTCAACTGATGAGTGATTGACAAAACTGTGATATATTTACACAATGGCATTCTATTCAGCAGTAAAGAAAGATGAAATATGAAATTTGCAGGTAAATGGATGGATCTAGAAACTGTTATACTAAGTGAAGTAAGACAGACTCAGAAAAACAAATGACGTATGTTCTCCTTCATATGTGGCTCCTAGCACCAAATACTTTTAAATTCCATGTCCTTTTAATAATATGATCCTATACAGCAGCCCCTTCTCCATGAAATAACTACCGTCATCATGACTTCAGCTGAACCTGATCACTAAACATCATCACAACTGGGCTTGTTGATGGTTATGCTCATTCATTAAAAGAGAGCCAAGCAGGGTCATTGGTCCTTCACTGGGGTATCCAGCCACTCTTCCCAGCCAACTGTATGTAATTTGACCCTAAGAACACATGACTTCCTGGATTTGGGGAGGGCTAAAGTATATAATCTGGGGAAGTCTAGGAGGAGAAGGCATGACCCATGCTGGGTTAAGGTTTTCCAGTGTGCATATCCTCAGGTCATACATACACCTCAGCAACCCCTCAGTTATCTGGTAAGTAAGCTCAATAAATTCATTGGTTCCCCAGCAAAACTTTAATCAAACATTGGCTTGACACTAGAACCTTAAAAGGGAATAAGCATTGCTTAGTCTCACAACAAACAGAAAATTTATTTGTTAATGCTGTTATGTCTCATAATTACTTTTTTTAAAAAATGAGAATGTAAAAGATGTTAAAAGGATATGGGAAATGGAGATATTTTCCAAAATAGAAAAAATGAGAAAGCCTAATCAAGTGATAAAGGTCTGTTTAGGTTTGTTATGATATATAAAGAATAAAACAAAAATAATGTACACATAATCTTAAAATTTCTATGGTCATAGTTTAGTCAACTAGTTTAAGGAACAAAATATATATCTAGTCAAAGTTTATCTGAGAATATTTGGTTTTTTACCCAATCCTTATCTACATAGCGTATGATAATTAAAAGTACCAGGCTGGTGGAACTAACCTTATTGAATGTTTAACAGCCATACCTTGAGGCCTATACAAATGTGCTCAGAGGGACTTTTCACCCCTTGCCCTCCAAGGTTGACTAAGTTCCAGGGGATATGGAACATCTCTCAAAATGTCCTGTAACTGTGGTAAGTCACCTGCCCTCTTGTTCAGGGAATCCATAGAGACCCCACCAGATGGCCTTGAACCAGTGTCCAGTCTACAAAGAGGAGGGTCAACACAGGGGAGTTTTCTCCATGCTTCCAAGGAAAGCCATGGTCAAGTAAGACCTTTGACTTATCCTCACATAGCTGGAACTGGTAAAAGAAAGGTCTAAGGAGACAGAAGCTCCTCCCAAGCCCATGTGACCCCCTGAGGAACCAACTTTAAGAGTAAAAATAAATTGGTTTATTTGGGCCAACTGCATGCTCCCAAACACCCAATAGGAAAGTAT